TAGTGGGGGTTGCAAAAGGAATAGGCAACTGTTTTTCCATTTTTCGCAACCCAAATATAAAGGGTTGCGTATCCTTACCTCTTACGCAACACCACTTTAGGCAACACGTTTCACAAGTTTTGCAACACATTTTTGTAAAATGGGCAACGGTATTTTTAACTTTTAGCAACAGTAAAATTTGTATATGTGACGAGTTTAAATCGTCACGAATAACTAACTCAATTGTGACAACATTGCTCGTAACAAAAATTAAAACTTGCGTGACAATATTATCGTCAATAAAAATTCTTTTTGTGACGAGGTAGTCCAGTCACGAAAACTATCATTGTGACATGTTTAATTGTCACGAATAGATACATGTGTGACCATAATTATGTCACAAATACACATTGTGAAATTCCTCGTAAGATTTAGGGGTCGCGTTGGTTGTCACTAAAGTAACTATTTGTGATGAAGTTTACTGTCACGTATGTCCCCTATGTGTGACGAATTTCAATCGTCACTCACAATATACTTTTGTGATTATCTAACTTTCACAAAAGAATCATTTTGTGACAATTTTTTTTATCACGAAAACACTGTACGTACCACAAAATGACGTCAATTGTGACCAATATTTCGTTGCAAAAGGATATATTTGGTGACAACTTTACTAATCACTCAAAGCAGCATTAGTGATAAATTGACGGCACGAACTTCGCAAATCCCTTTCATTGGTGACCAACCTTTCATCGCAAAAGGTTAGCTTTTGTGACAACTTTGCTAGTCACTAATAAATCAATGGTGATGCATCACTGAGTTATCACAAATGTATTTCTATTTTGACAATAAAATTATCTTTTCAGCCTTCTTTTGTGACAAGAGATGATGACACGAGTATACCCCAAAAATGATGATAACGTATGTCCTACATGAGTGCATTTTGTGACAAGATTTTAGAACACATATTGCTACAACACTCTATTCAGTGAGAAGATGTGTCGTCACTTCTATTAATTGCGAGAACATGTTTTGTCACAAATTTAATGGTTTGACGACTAACGAGCTTCTTTAGTGACAAGAAATTAAAATACGAATATAGTCATTGGTGAAACAAAAAATATATCATATTTTGTGACAAGAATGGTCACCAAAATAAAAAAAATCAAATTCACTAGATAATAGGGGAAAAAGTCTTAAACTCAAATTTGGCTACTAATAATTCTAAATAGTATTGAAATCAATCAAAACCACAAATCTAACACTAATGAGAGGTTTTTTTATCTTTATAAATCATCCTATTTTTTCGGACGCAACAGTTGCATCATGTCTTCATCATGTTGCTTTTGCAGGTCAGCAAACCTTTGTTCCCATTTCTTGTTCTGCTCTGCTAGCCGGGCCTCAAACTGTTGGTTTAACTCTGAATAGATCTCATTTCTTATCCCAGCTCTAACTTCTTCCCCAACCACAGCAATTTTCTCCCGCCTAACACGTCGAGACGAGAGCTTGCCCTTGGCTTTAAGTATTATCTCTTTGTTAGACAAATAAGTTCCTTGATTGACTATCTCTTTTATTCTTTCCTGTAAAAAAGAAAAAGAAATTATTCTATTTTATGATTTCAGAATGAAGTGTATATAAATGTAAGGCATTGAAAAAGTCTATGAAAGTTTACTTACGTAAATTGCTTTTGATGCCTCATCGCACCATATCATCTCTCCTTCTTCATTCTTCTTCATATGTTGAGCACGCCACACTTCATCAACAGACTTCTTAATTCCAGTTTTTGGATCTATCTATGATTTCGATTTCATTATTCAACTTAAAGAGTGTTAACAAAACTAAAAATGTGATTTGAGGTAACAAAAATAAAATAAATTTAGAATTTAAAACTAGAAGATCATTACCATATTAAATTCAAATTCATCATGAGATCTTGATCCACACACATTCTTCACTTTCACCTGTGATCTATTCTTCTTATTTCTCACACTCTTTTTCTGTATAGCTCACATTTTAGGATTAATAATAAATTCAAATAAACATATTCTAAAAGACTTGGAAAAAAATTTAATGATTAAAATGTTCACTTACTTTGAAAAGCTCTGATCCCCAATTGACAACAGCTTGCTTCCAATCTTCTTTATCAATGCCGTCAGGAACATAACTTTCCCTTTCATTTTGATCCATCTCTTGAAATTTCTTGCGTAAGTTGTACAGCGTAGTTGAATATGATTTTTTCATTTTCTTAAATATAAAAGATCTTAGCTTCTCACTGCAATTGCTCTTGAATTTCTCCTACAAACAAAGTAACTCAAGAGTATAAGATAAGAATAGTTCAATATGCAAAATATTAACAAAAAATGAAAAGTGTGAAAATGATTGATCGTACCTCCACTAAGGAGCACAATTTATCACCAATTGTTTCTTCAACCTCATCCCAGTTCGTGGCACTCAACTTAGCATATTTTTTTATTAGAACCCCACAGAAACTAACTAAGTGCCGAGCATTCTTACCAACAGCCTCTGTCCCTGTGTTGGGAAAATAAACCTCTAATTTTTTCCCATCTTGGGTTGCTAGCACAACAGCATTACATGTTGTGATCCCCCTCTTATTCTTCACTGTAATAGTAAATACGAGACAAAGTTTTAATGGCTTGATTTAATAATAAGAGCATATTAAAATATGGTACTCCAAAAGTATTAAGTAGGCTAACTAGAAAACGACGTTTACATCTAGTTAAACTATTAACCAGCAAACCAGAAATCAACAAACAAAAAAGACTCAATGAAAAAAAATGAGCAGATTTGTATTACAGTGAATAAAAAAAAGGACTCCAATTAATTAAGTTGACTAGTTACAAAGCAAATCATAAGCATCGCCGCTCTATATCCCAGGACTTGTGCATTTTTTAATGCGTATCATTTAATCAAAAATTGGTACTTTTTTAATATTGATGTAATCTTATCTTAATGGAAAATTGCCCAATGAGATAAACAATACAAGCCTATCAAGCAGCCTAATAGAGGTCGGACTGTGATTTCTATTCCTAGTCGCTCCAACTCATCACAAACGTGGGACGTACTCCGCTAAAATAAAATTTTGGACTCGTTATCAAATAAAATTGGGAGTTTGCAGTAGGGATTCACATTCACATAAAATTAAATACGGTTCTTTGGCAATTAAAAGATGAACACCCAGAACGAGAAATAGCTTAAACAACAAACTAAAATTTCACGTACCTTTTGGAGGGTCCGAGTTAATTTCAGAGGATGGAACAAATGAAAATTCTTCTTGCATATTCTCTCCTTCCATCATGGTTTCATCCGAATCATATTCGGCTTCAGTATGAACAGATGGGGATGGGGAACGGGTCTCATCTGAATCGTAATTGGCCTCAAGTGATCGTTTTCTTCCTTTTCTCTGGTATGTGGTGTAAGCAGAGGACGCCATTGCTGCAAGACAGATAAAGAGCATACATACGGAATCAAACTTACGTGTGAAAACATGAGAAATAAGGAAACAGTTGATCATCATACCTTGTAGCTTGGCCCAAGAGTAGAGCAAGAAGATAACGACAATGAGAGAGTGGGAGTCCTTGTTGAATATTTACTGGCGGCTGGAAAGGAGAAAGGATTGGGGTTTCGTGAAAGTGGTAGAGTGAAAGAAGAAGGGTTCCTCTTTTGGTTGTAAGGGTTTATTATTAAGTGTTTAGGTAAAGTTTTCCTTCCCAGTATCCCCGCAGATTTATTAAGTATAATTTCATTAAATTATTTAATTATTAGATAAGTAAAGGAAGAGGGAAAAGCAGATGACATGGAATTCTTTTATTAGGCCGTATAGTTCTATTTCCATATTATGCATAGGAATCTCTTCTACTTTATATTTCCTTCCCAATATCTTTTTCGCAAAAATCTCCGTCGTAATCGGCCATTCACCTCTCCGTCTATGGATTTGGGGGAAATTCTTTGCAGCCAAAGTCCAAGCAAAAAATCAAAAGGAAGGCGGGAGATAATCACAAGAATATTGGCTGGTGAACCAAATCAGGTTTTGGGTTTTTTTCCCTCTCGATTATCTGCCTCACCTAATTACTTCTATCCTGCTCGACTGCTGGTGGCTCAAAGTGATGGAAGGATGTTGCCGCCAATCGTTGCCGCCAAAATTAGCAAATATAATGGGATTCAAGAATTATAAATAGATTTGCCACTGCCGCTGACTCAAATCAGGCAAGCTCCTTTTGCTATTTCTTTTCCTACCTTCTGTTTCAGTACCGACTGATTTGGTGCCTAATGGTTGTTTCTAGAACTGGGAGTGTTTTAGATTTGCTCGATTGTTCACTTCGATTTGCGAGCGGATCTCTTTCTAAAAGAAGGCAGTTGTTTTCTTAACCATGCTCTCTTGGGATGGACACAAGGAAGGCAACCCTGAGAATATTAGACTGCTCGTTTGTAGACTGTAGTGGAAGGGCCATTTTGGCTGGATTGAATTTAGTACCATAGAATCTTTGTGCTGTGGCTCAGTGATCAGCAGTTAGAAGTGTGTTTATCTTATTGGGGATCAAAAAGCAGCAAGGTTTTGGCACTGTTGATGTGGTACGGCTGCCGCAAAGGACCTGTGTCGTTACATCAAACTGCTTCCTGTTGCTTGTCGATTCTCCGTTTTTGTATTTCTTTTCGGATATGTGGCACTCCTGTTGTATGTAGTACGGCTCTCCTGCTGCTTGATGATTTTATGGTTTTGTATTTTTATGTTAAGTTGAGCTGAGGAGTCTTGATTTATGCTCTGTGTTTGCGACAGTTGGGAGTTTATGTCCTATTTTGAAACGTACTTCAGCTGCAGATTGTTACATCTAGTGAGTCATGGTTTATGTTCAAATTTCACCTCTTTTTTCAAATGTTATGTGTTGGTGCTTTTCAGATTCTCGTGAGTATGCTTCGCTCAAATAAATCAACAAATGAGAAGAACAAAAGTAACAACAGACGGAGCCCATTGATGAAGAACTCTAAACTGACAGCAGGCGGTACTAGAATGATTGGATTACATTCGAAGAACAACAAAGAGAGGCGAGTAAGGGATCACGATGGAAAGGCAGCTATGCAACCCCAAGAATTGATAGAAACTGTACAACTCTCCAAACGTGTTGCTGGTCACTCAAAGAAGGTATCCACATTTTCGGAACCTCTTCCTAGGAAGACGACCCAGTTTAATGCCCCTCGAGATTCTTTTTCACAACACAAAAGAGTAACTTCTAGTGGGCAGCAATCACTTCAGCATAAGAAAGAAATCATTGAGCAAGTGCGTAAGAGAAATACACCCTCTTCGGCAGATATGGAAGAAGATGAGAACCCCGATAGTGGGGAATATAGTCTCTATGAGTCGAGTGATGAAGACCTTGTTGGAGAAGAAGTTGAAAATGAATCTGGACGAGAAGCTGATAATCCAACTGTACACAATAATGGTATGTACAATTTTACATGACCAACTTTATTTCATTTTACTATCGAGATTCTTAGTTTGCTTATTCACCGATTATGCATTAGTTGTTAATGTAGTGCAAAAGAGAACTAGGGGTCCTACAAGTTGCATGGAGATTCATGCTGTTGAGATGGACGAACGCCATACTATCACTGTTAACGAATTCGGACAACCTATTGGGGACGATAAAAAGTTCAGCAGCTTTTTGGGGACCGTGGCACGAAATAATAAATTTGCTCCATTGAATTATATTTCATGGAAGGATGTCCCGATGGAGAAAAAAGAAGACATATGGAATTATGTAAATGTATGGTGCTGCTTTGGATCTATCTGATAGTTAATTAACATATTTTACTTTTATGATTATGAGATTTTGTTGTTTGTAGACCAAGTATGTTGTTCCAACCACCTGTAAGAAGTGGGTTTTGGAGGCAGTGCACAGTGCATGGAAGGGACATAAGAGTAGGACAAAGACATCAATGAACAAGTATGCAACAAGGAGGGAAAAATTGGCGAATAGGCCAAAAACAATCCCGATGGGAGTAATGGAAGTTCTACTGGATCACTGGGACAAGCCAGAAGTCAAGGTAAACTTTGTATTAGACTTGGTTTGGCATGTTTTCCTATTTCCTTTAATGTTTATATACAATTTTTTTTTTTCCTTTGAAAAATTTCAAGGAGGAAAGTGATAGAAACAGCCTGCATCGTTCAATGCAAGAGGACCACCACAAATCTGGTTCACAAAGTTTTGCAAAGCAACGCGAGAAGATGGTGAGTTAATGCAAGTCTAATGAGCTATAAAGTAGAATCATATAATTTGCAGATTGTATAACATACTTTTCTACATAATGTAGAAGAAATCAAAGGGAAATAATGAAGAACCAAATGCGCTGGAAATGTATCTCCAAACTCGCAAGGCTAATCAAGGCGATGATATGGATGAAAATACAAGAGTAAGAATGAGCATTTATTTTTAAGATTTCTAACAGAAAGCTTATGTATCATGGTAACTTTTAGAATCACGGGTGTGCTTGTTAATTGTAGTTGCTTATATTTTCTCAGGCTCAAATTACTGGGTTGCAAGCAACAATTGCAGCAGAAGGAGAAGGAGCTAGTTTACGCCCAAAAGTTCGGTATTATGGAAGAGGAGTGACTGCAAAGAGTTTAAAGAGAAAACATGAAGCTAGTGAGAGCACACAAGCAAAGGGGATCCCTGCTACGCGAGAAGAAGTGCAAACTAAGATGGATCAACAAAAGACCTTTCTGTCTACTGGATTACATAATGCAATGACACTGTTACAGGTGAACAATCCATCAATGGTCATCCCTCAAGGCATGTTCGACTTTTTGCTGGTGGATAATTCCACAAATGACAGCACAACCGGTGAAAAGGAAACTACCACCGAAGATGCAATGCAAGAGGGTACTGACTAACGGCAGATGATGGCAGCAAGAATTTTGATAATTCGTTTATGTTTTATGTTCACTTGTGGATGCAGTCCGAGACTGCAGGATTTCGAACTTGAAGTTTGAGTAGTTTCAAGTCATGTTGCTGTTATTTTTACCATTAATTTTTGTTAGAGATTGTTCGAATGGTGCTGCTACTCCTCTGTTTTGGCAGCCCTTTCTGGAGTCGGATAATTTTGGTTCATGTTGATGATACTTGGTTTCTCCCTCAATCCTAGTGATCAATATTACAGTTACTTTATGCTCCCTCAATTGCTGGACATGGCCAAGAACGGCTGCAAAATTACACAAAAATTGAACTCTTTATGATCCCTCAGTTAAGGTTTAATATTACAGCTACTTTAGTGATCAATATTACAGTTACTTTATGATCCCTCAGTTAAGGTTTGGCTGACGCTGAACTGGGAGCTTGATACTGGTCACTGCTTTCCATTTTTTGTTGCCTGTGAGTTGGCTCTCACTTTGAGAGAACGATTTTCATGGGTGTGATTCAGTTTTTGGAAGGCCTTGTGGTGAAAACGAAGGATTTTGTTCTTGAAATTGTTCCTACCACTGTATTTTCTTTCATCATGGACCGGACCTCAGATGAAACAAAGCTGGAACGGGTTGTTGAACCTATGTCCATTTTTTCACGACACAAGGTTTGCTGCAACCACCTTCTCACCAACAATGCTCCATCTTTTGTTCTTCTATCTAGAATGGCCTCCATAAATGCCGAGCCAAGAAAACTTTTAGTAGAGACAACGGATCCATTAAGCACTTGACCCACACAAGAAACAGATTTTTCATCACGAAATTTACTGCAGATATTACCCACATTAGCAATTGGAGGAGTAGATTTGTGGATATCCCAGCCATCTAAGAAAGCTTCAATTCTTTCTGTGAGCTGAAAATCCCTTATTTCAGATATTACACCATGCCACCCCACTCGAACTTGGACCAAATAGAGAGCATATATAGCTGCCATTAGGACCACCAACCTAGCGTGATTAAGTGAAAACAAATAACCTGACCAAGGAACAACACACATTCACAGCTGCTTAAAACACAAGAGCATGTCAATCAAGTGAAAAGCCGAAACAACAAGTCTCAAACAGGTCCAACAGTAGTGACACGATCATGACTCCAGCAAAAAAGACAAACCCTGGTAAAAACAAAAGATCCATAATCCACATGTGTTTGCTGCCATTGAGAAGTGACAATGAAAATCCTGCAAAATTTGACTTGTTCAACTAACTGTCTGAAATCCTCGAGGCTGGTAAGGACTGCCCTGGGGAGCAGGCTGATATGTTCTAGGGACATATCCTCTTCCATAGGAGTTCTGCTGAACATCTTCATATCTAGCACCAGTAACACCATGCTACTGCAAGTGTGATCCTCCATTTCCTAAATAACAAACAGCATACTTTCAGGGTTAGGTACAGGCTAAATAATGTCTCAAAGATATTGCACATCACTGCCAAAGGTCTGTAGAATCACCGGATTAAAGGAATAATATGCTTAGTCAGAGTCTTCATAAAAATCATCAGTCATTTCAGCTTCACTTGAGTGTTCATCTTCATCACCATCACCATTTTCAGATTCACTTGTGTACTCCTCTTCAACCTCTAGGATTGCAGCTTCACTTGTGTTTTTGGGTTCAACAGCTGTCGTTTCAGTCTCATTTGCAGCAAGATCGTCCTCCTCCTCCACATCAAGCTCCACTGCATCTTCCACTTCAGTATTTGTCGATTCAGGAATTTCAACCGTAATTCCTTCAACGTCATCTCTTGACCACTCAAGCTCGTCATTGTTATCAATTGGCAGGACAGGCTCTATGCTAGGTGCTCTTGAATTAGAAGCATACTCATCTTCTAAGCCATCAACTCTCATGTCAAATAAGTCTCGAGGAAGTGTCTCCATAAAATAATGCCAATCTTGTTGCATTGGATCTTGCACATAAAATCCTTGCTTTACCTGATTTGCCATGACAAATGGGTCATTTTGATACTTTAACCTTCTAAAATTCACCCGAGTGAGCCCATAACCATCCTTTTCTGAATCAAACCACTTGCACTTGAACAGAACTATTTTGAAATGGGAATAGTAATCCAACTGAATGATCTCATCGATAGCTCCATAGTAAGTAACATCAGCAAGCACTGGATTTTTATCCTTGGAACTTGCATAACTTGATGTCATTGCTGTCAGCGTTACCCCACTACTTTGGGTTTGCAAGTTCTTCTCGCGACTCAAAGTATGAAACCTATAACCGTTAATAAGGTATCCTGAGAAGCTCTGAGCAACATAATTCGGACCAGCAGCTAGGTGTTTGATCATCGTAGAAACATGTTTGTCATTTTGAACGCGCGACTCAAGCCATTGTACTATATCTTGTGCTTGACTTTTTTCTCTTGCCCAATTCCTACCCTTACGTTTTCTGCTTTGTGATTGATCAAACTCACTGCAAAAAGCAGTACATAATGAGCATAAAAGTAAAAAACAAAAATAACGAATTTGGTTAGATTGACATAATGATAACTACATGATAAGCTTTGTGATTGCTTAAAAGAAAGAATTTCTAATTACAATAAGTTCCCCCAGACACAGCCATCATCGTAAGACTACATGAAGCATAAAGTTCACAAGGAAAGGAACTTATGAATAACATAACTCAGCAATGATGGCGAAAATTAAAGGAAACACACTGGTACCAAATATTCAATGCAAAGAAGATATTGTATACTAAATAGAAGCAAGAAGACCATCTTACTCGATATATGCAGACAGCTCAGACAAGTTATCCTGACAATTGATGATGACATATCGCCGAGCTTGGGTAAGAACCTCATCATTCAATTCAATTAGTTTACCCTTCCCATTCTTTTTTGCTCCAAGCGGTCTGCCTAAAATTGGGAATAAATCTGCAGAATTTTCCCCTGTGACAAATCCTTCATGGTTCCTGGAACTTCGAGTGAACCTTGTATCACCATTATCACTCAAATATCTTGAGCAAAAGATTAAACATTCCTTAGCAGAGTTCCCTTCAGCTATGCTTGCTTCAGGCTGATTTCTATTCTTCACAAAATCCTTCAAGACACCCAAAAAACGCTCAATTGGGTACATCCACCGAGTTTGTACAGGCCCTCCCAGCCTAACTTCTTCGACCAAGTGAATTGGTAGATGAACCATAACATCGAAAAAGCTGGGTGGGAAAATCCTCTCAAATTGACAGAGAGTCTCAACAATTTCAGTTTGCAACTTATCCAACTCGCTCAATGATATGACCTTTCTACAAATGGCTTTGAAGAATTGACCAAGCCTAATGACAGCAATAGCAACATTTTTGGGCAAAGTCTTACATACTGCGACTTGAAGCAGGTATTGCATCATAAAGTGCGCATCATGACTCTTGTACCCAGATAGTTTCCTCTCCTTTAGGTTGACACAATGAGAAATGTTTGATGCAGCTCCATCTGGCACTTTAGCTCCTTTTAAAACCTGACAAAAAATGTCTTTTTCTTGGTTGGTTAGCCAAAAGCAAGCTCTAGGCAGTACACTCTTCTTACGATTTGATGATTCAACCGGATGAAGCTTCTTCCTGATTCCCATATCACGTAAATCCAGACGAGCATTCAGATGATCTTTGGTCTTCCCAGGAATGTCTAACAATGTTCCTAAAACATTTTCAAAGACGTTCTTTTCTATATGCATCACGTCAAGATTATGACGCAATTGATTTTTCTCCCAATAAGGAAAATCAAAAAAAATGGACAACTTATGCAGAGGAAATCTTGTCTCACCTTTCTTATTGTCCCTCTTGCCAAAGTCATTGATGAATCCTGATAACTTTTCCTTGATCATCGAACCAGATAAAGGTATAGGACTCCGCCCAAACTCAGTTTTCCCGTTAAAAGAACTCCTGTCCCTCCTCCATTCATGATCATCATCAAGAAACCTACGTGTCCCCATATAACACATCTTATTGCTGTGACTCAACCGCAGAGAGCATGTATCATAATTACAATTTGGACACGCATAATATCCTTTTGTGCTCCAACCAGACAACATGGCATATCCCGGAAAGTCACTAATTGTCCACATCAAACAAGCACGCATATTAAACATTTGCTTGCTATGAGCATCATAAGTAATTACTCCCTCACTCCATAGCTTCTTCATTTCATCCACAAAAGGTCCTAAATAGACATCAATATCATTCCCTGGTGATTTTGGCCCTGGGATAATCGAAGACAGAACCAAATACTCTGGTTTCATACACATCCAGGGTGGCAAGTTGTAGATTGCGACTACCACGGGCCATGTGCTATGATTACTTGTCATAGTCCTGAACGGATTGAAACCATCAGAAGCAATGGCAATCCGAACATTTCTACAATCAGCTGCAAAGTCCGGATGCAAGTCATCAAAATCTTTCCATGCTTGACCATCTGCAGGATGCCTAAGATTCTCATCTTTGATTCGCTTTTCCTCGTGCCATCTCATGTATGTGGCTGTTTTCGAAGACATGAACAACCTTTGGAGTCTTGGTATCAAAGGAAAGTACCGGAAAATCTTAGCAGCAACTTGTTTCCCGGAAACATTATCATCTTCACCACAATTCCCATCATCCTTAGGGGGGAACTTGTATCTAGACTGGCCACATTTTCTGCAACTCTTCAGCTTACTATCATCATCACCATAATATAGCATACAATCTTTTGGACAAGCATCAATCCTCTTGTAGTTCAACCCTAAACCCTTAATCATTGTTTTCATTTTAACAAATGATTTGGGAATCTCAGCATCAGGAAAAGCCTCGGTCAGCAAAGAAAGTAGAGAATCGAAAGAGGAGTTACTCCATCCATTGAGGCACTTTAGAAGATATATTCGAATGGTGAATGAAAGCTTCGAAAACTTTTCACATCCCGGATACAATTCTTTATCAGCGACTTCTAATAGAGTGAAAAAGTTTTTCGTCTGTCCATCAGGCTCTCCACCGACAGTAGCTGCAAGGTCACTTAATAGACCATACATATCATCATCTTCTACCATATCATCATTGTCACTATCTTCAACTTCCTTCTCTCCGTGGAAAGTCCAAATAGAGTACTTCTTCACAAATCCATGACAAATCAGGTGTTCATTGACGACATTTCTGGTTTGCCAAAACATATTCTTGCACTTCACACAGGGACACAAAATCTCATTTCCCTCAGCCGATTTAGCAAATGCAAAGTTCAGAAAACTCTCTACCCCATTACGATAGGCGGTACTCACTCGTGCTTTCGACAACCAACTTTTGTCCATTTCCAATAATAAACTGCAAAATGAATGACCTGAATTAGTAAATATATACATTAAGGCCAGGACAATATAAGTACAATGAGGAAAGCTGCAATTCCAGCAGAAAATCAATATAAAATTACCAGTGAACAAAATCAAAAGCAACATTCTTTACAATTAAGCTTTGTGTGGTTTTATATGTGGTATTGAGACTGGATGATAGTCTAGCTTGACTTACTAGCCTTGAATTAATTCCCAGCAATGCTATAAACCAGAGGTAGACATACCCGATTCTGCCAGCTGCATTGCTTATTTGATTGAAACAGCAAATGCACAAGTTATCGATCTTTCAACTGATGCAACAAAAGATTAAACTAGCACACGTTTGCTTGATCATACAACATATATAGTCAAAGTTAATCTGCAATTCTGGGCATTTCTAGAAACTTGGCACGTGAAGCATATGGAAAAATGCAGGAGCTCTAATCAATAAAAGATAAGCTTGTAATTAATACATGGAAACAAACTTGGCTGCAGCAAAGTGATAATCTCTATTACTCCCACCGATTGAAATAAAGCGGTTGAAGCAACTAGAAATAGAGCTAGTTTGTGAGGTTTGTGCAAGGTAGAGAGCAAGAGAGCTAGTAAGAAAGAGCAGCAGCTTTTCGTGTTGCAGCAAAATCAGTGCCTGGACTCCTTTTACTTCATACCAATCTGAACAAAGGTATGGATTTTATTCGAACAAGTGATAAGGTGAGCATTTGAAACTTTATAGTGGAAGGTTGGTTGCTTTTGTGTCATTAATTTAGTTATAAGCCAGAGTGTGTGGTTTTCATTTTTGCTTTCTATTCGCATGTTATTTAAGTTGGAAGAATAATACCTTATATTCCATGCAATGGAATATGCTACTTCATTGTTAATGAGAAAATAAAGTCCGAAATGCTTAGTAGTTTTGTGGAACAGAGATTTTTGCGTGGGTTTCTTTGTTTATGCAGAGGATTTTCCTTAGCCAATGAGTGGAGCACTGGGATGGGGCTACCATTCATAGGCTAGTATAAGAAGGGGAGGATGATAATCAAAGGGATGAATGCCAATATCTTTGGGGTTTGGGACTCTGCCTTGATTTTTATATTAAAGTAAGGGGTGCTTCTATGGATAACTAAATCATACTTATGTTATCTTTCTGGTTAAGTGCTTACCATACTGTTTTTATTTCAGGGTCATATGGCACCATCATCTACAGATTCTGGCTCCTTTGGGAACACTATAATTGATTTCTACTGGGTAAGCTCTTTATGGTTGACATCGTGTTAAGCAACTAAAAGGTGTGCTAAGAAGAACATGAGTTTAATAAGGAGAAAGCAACTCTATCCTGATGCTTGTGATGTGAATTAACATGAAGGTTTTCTGGTGGGAAGCTGGTTCATGGAACACAATGGACATCACCCATGATAGAGGTAAACATGTAACAGTTGATATTGGTTATTCGGATGTACTTAACCAGCAGAGGAAAACTCTAAATCCTACTGTCCCCATAAACCCACAAATTAACACAGTAAGCAGAGAGAGATAAAGAACTCCACCCAAACAAGGCATTCAGGAACACATAACAATCAAGAACACAAGCGACAAGAAAGAACCACAACATATATTGCAGCAAACAGTAAAAAAACACTCGACTCAAACCCCAGGCTGTCTTAATTTTTTCCCTCTAAGGCAGCACGCTTTAGAACAAGCTCAAGAACAAGCTACAATCACCGAAACCATCTTCAGCTTTTGAACCAGCGAAACATAATCTAGTTTTAGAAAGCAATTAGAACTGCTACAGAAGACCGGTGGAAGGAGAAAGGAGAACCCACCGTATCAAGGCGTCGCCCTTGCCGATTGGAGAGGAATTCGAAGAGGATTCTTGATGGTGGGACAGGAAACGGAATTCGAAACGGCTGTGTGGAGGAAAGAAAACTGTGACCTTCAGAGGAGGATTGATGGTCGCTGATTCCTGGTTGCTGGGCGGAGCTCTGGTGCTTGTCAATTTTGCCGCCGATGAACAAGTACGCGAGAAGTTTGCGCGGGGAGTGCTGGGAAGAGAAGTAACGTTTGGTAAAGTTGGTGTTTTTGATTTTGTTTATTTTTCCTTTTCTTCTCTGTGTTTGGGTCCAACCGTCCAAGTTTAGTTTTTTTTTTTTCCTATTATTATTTGGATGTCCCTTTCAATTGTTTGTATTTTAAAAGTTATGGTAAGTTGAATATAAATTCATGTTTTGCAACACAATTTTGATAAGCGTTGCATAAATTATACAATTAGGCAACCCAAAATTTATTTTTGACATATGTGTTGTGTAAAGAGAATAATTGCAACATATAATTAAATTGAGTTGGGTAAACTATCCAATACGCAACTCCAAAAAAAAGTGTTGCCGTAACATATTTAACGCAACACTTTCAAGTAGTGTTGCAATCCGAGTGTTGCAAGAAGGCCTTTTTCCCGTAGTGAGCAGTGCAAAGATGAGTGATTTTCTGGGAAGTCATGATAATGCACCCAAAAAATGAATCGTACAACAACAAAACTCGATAGATCCTATGATTCGTAAGGTAAAATCCAACCTTAAATGACTTGTTGCATGTTAGGGCGAAAATTGATGAGTTATTCTAAAGTTAAACATGCTGAGTATAGAGCAGATAAATAATGGGTGACCTCACGAGAAATCATTATGATGCAACCAAAACAAAAGAGTGTGTAGTATACTAAAAAGAGACAATGTCTATATATCTGAATCCATAGTTCTTTTTAGTGGACTTTAGGGAAATCAACCGAATTGATTATCGGAACAAGGATGGTTGATAATATGGTCTCTTTTTCTTTGCTAAAAGCTTGTATCAGTCCAGCAAGAGCGGGAAGTGGCTTGGATCTTCAAGGATTATATAGTTTTCCTGAGAAGTGAGAACCATGAAGCTAGGACTCGCGGTTTTGGAACTAGGAGTGAACCAATCTGGGTTAATTGTATATATGGATTAGCAACTGGAATATGTGTAGTTAGTAATTCTGAAAAATTAAGGAAGTTGACAATCAGAAACTGAAACACTTCTAAACTTACTTCTTTAGACCCTTTTTAATATCAATGATGAGAATAATACCAAACTTAAAAAATAATGATGAACAATATGGCATGACGATGAGTTATGAAGAAATTGAGAGAAAACATATGTAATTAATATTGGTAATAAAATTTTGAGGATAAATGAATTGAAAGAGGACATGATATATAAGTGGGTCTAATTAGATTTGGTATAATAAGATAAAGGGTGGTGAAGTGTGAAGGGTGATTCGAAAACTTTTATCCAAAAATATATATATAAAATGAATATCATTCTGTTAAACCGTATAGGATAGAGGATGATGAGGTGTGATCCTTTTATGTAAATAATAAATCAATTATAATAAAATTTTATATTTTGGATGAATAGAGTTATGTGGGATGAATGAAAAAAATGTATTTTTTTTTTTACAAAAAATAATCATATATTGATTCAAAAAATAGGTAGTTACATCCTGGAGCTTTACCAAGCCTGGAAATAAAAAAATGACTCATGGTCGGGTACAATGGAAGGGCTTCTCTAGCCACCAAATGGGCTATTCTATTGCTACGCTGACCTACTAGTCGAAGACTAAACCCAGAATGAATTGCAAAATAATGCACAACCTCTTCGAGAATAGCCCCCATCCGGTTATCTCTGGTATCCGCCTGATTTATCTTCTCGATGATAACTTTGACATATCCTTTAAACCTTATCTCCGTGAAGCCGTGAACCAGACACCATAGCCTCCCGGAGCACGAGCAACTCGACCACCATAGGGTCATCAATCAACAAAAACTGAATGAGACCCACTCCTGTCGAATGAGAACCCACTCCTTGTAGCCCCATCCCACATACAAACATCCAAACTAGCCCCCCAGGACCCAAGTGATGTATCAAAGGGATGGAAGACTGAAGTACTCGGTCCACCGGCAAACTTACCCGCTCCTCATACTGCTGGTTGAATTGGCGCATCAATGTAGGGATCCCAAACTGTTTACCCTGAAATAGAACCTAGTTACGAGACCGCTAGATCCTCCAAAGGACGACAACAACCGCCATGAACAGAGGAGGTTGATGTATGATTGACATCATCTTTTTTAGAAAAAGCGAGAAAGTATGACAAGACAACCCTTGCCAAGATATTCTAGCCCCGAATGGTCCCAAAGAGCACACACAACTAGGCAATATCCGATTGAAGATTTTCCAGACAAACACTTTCAATTTGGGTGGAATATTGGCCTCCCACAAACGAATCCAGCTGGCCCTATCCATCCAACTAGCCATGGACCTCCAACGACCTCTCCGCTTATCCAATAAGACAACAAGATGGTAGGCCGATTTAACAATAAAAACCTCGTCAGTCGTGTCATGCCAGATTAGTCTATCCTCAACAATCTGACGAGGAAGAGGAATAGCTTTTATGGCACGACAGGTTGGCGGATCAAATCACTGGCTAAGTTTTAGGTCACACCAACGCCCGCCCCTCCCTTGACAGTTAACCTCCGCTACCGGCGGGTCACCCTCTTCAGGTTACACCTGGGGTTATACATTGCGGGAAAGGGATTTAACCGAGGAATCCAGTTGGAATGAAGCAGAGAAGCATTCTGACCATTACCAACTTGCCATCGTAATCTCATCTCTAATAACTGCCACCATAGAGGATACTCTGCCATCCCCAAGATGGGCGAGAACGAGCCGAAGCATTGAGGAAGGTCCCAGTAGGAAAATACTTTCTTTTATAAACCTGGGCTAAGAGGGAATGGGTTTCAGTAAGGATATGCAATCCCATTTTGGCTAAGAGAGCCTGATTAAAATGTTCAAATCGACTAAATCCCATACCCCCGTCATGCTTACTCCTGCACATATTGCATCAGGACATCCATCGAAACCGCGACTGGCCCTCTACAACACCCCACCAGAATTTGGCAACATGTTTGCTCAAGAGACGACACATAGATAGAGGTAACTTGAAACAGGACATAACATTCAACGACGACAAACCTAAAGCGACTGATTTAATCAAAGTTTCTTAGCTGCCCAAGACAATGTCCTCTACTTCCAACTCTGGAGTCGCTCTAGCAACTTTTCCTCCAAATAGCGGAAAGTAGCCATTTTAGATTGGTCTATAAGCATAGGTAGTCCTGGATATTTATCATGGACCCCTACCGCCCGACACCCAGAATCTAAGCCAAGAAATCTTGGTCCGCCAGAGCAATATTCTTACTGAAGCAAACAGTCGATTTAGCCAAGTTCACCGTCTGGCCACTAAGTTCCTCATATTCATTCAAAACCTCGATCAAATTCTCACATTCCTGGAGAGAGCCTCTAAGGAATAAATAAGAATCATATGCAAAAACAAACATATGCGAGATCCGGGGAGCTCGAGGAGCCACTTTAACTCCTTCAAGTTTTCTTGCCAAAATGGCTTTTCGAAGGAGCGCCGCAAACCCCTTCATGCAAATCACAAACATGAGAGGAGAGAGAGGATCCCCTGGAAGGTGTGAAGAAGCCCGAAGGGATGCCATACATGAGTATCGAAAACAACGTTGATCTGAGACATTCATGTGTCCATCCTCTCCAAGTGGAGTTAAAACCATCTTGTCCAAAACTGCAAGAAGAAATGGTCATTCGACTCTATCATATGCCTTTTCCATGTCAACTTTTAGAGCCATGTACCCTTTCTTGCCCAAGGAAGATATTATCAACTATTTGTCGTTCACTAATGAAAGCATTTTGACCTTCCGAGATGATTTGTGGTAAGAGGCAAGCAAGTCTTTCAACCATGATTTTTGTTATAACTTTGTACACAAACTGACATAAGCTTATTGGTCGGAGCTGCCTTATGGTATCCATATTATTCACTTTGGGGATCAAAGTCAGCCAAGTATGATTAAAACTACGGAGCATTGTACTCGTTGTAAAGAATGAGCAAACAACTTCAATCACCGAGTTTCCAACAATATCCCAGAAGGCCTTGAAATTTTTTCTCGTGAATCCATAAGAACCAGGTGCCTGCTTCGATCCCATGGAGAAGACTGTTTTCCTCACTTAATTAGGAAGGACTACAGTCGTAAGACTGGCATTCATTTTCGATGTAACACTATGGGCTACGAGAAGATCAGCCACTCGATCGATCATGTTCCGCACCTGGTTCTCCGAGGTGAAAATAGTCTGATAAAAAATACTGGCAATGTCTTCCTTCCTATTTTCCTCAGTGATCCATTCCCCAATGTCATTGCAAAGGCCGGACACAAAGTTCCATTTTCTAAGAGCCCTTGTAAACGCATGGAAATACGAAGTATTTTTATCACCCTTCTTCAGCCATCAGACTCTAGATTTTTGCTGCCAGTAGACTTCCTCAGCCTCCCATTATCTATTTAACTCAATTTCCAAGCTCTAGACCTCACCCCAGTCAATAGGATGGACTAATTTTATCCGCTCAATTTTAGCCTAGAGAGTTTTAATATTGCGCAGAGAATTCGTAGTGCCCGCCCTACTTCAGTCATAGAGCAAATGGTGAACCTTCTTAAGATGTTCTCAAAGTCGAAACATTGGAGTACCCTGAATATCCTCATGCCATACGTAATTCACCATAGCCTTAACCTTTGCATTATCCGCCCAACGAGCATCAAATCAGAAGAGGGGCGGACTATTACGAGCATAGGGCTTGTCGAAGAGGGGGAGAACCCGATGATCTGATCCCTGATCTGTAAAGTGTTTGATCAGGGTATCCGGGTATAGATCAATCCAGGTCTGGGAGCACAGAGCTCTGTGTAGCCTCTCACGAATACAAGCCTCACCCATCCGTTTGTTCGTCCAGGTGAATCGATCACCCTGGTAGCCAGGGTCATGGAGACCCAGGCATGAATAAAATCATGCAAGCTAAGAGAGTGAGCAACATTCCACGGAGTTCCCCCATATTTTTCACTCTCATGAAGAGTAGTTCTAAAATCACCTATGACAACATAGGGAAGTTGGATGGCATCACAGATTTCCCGGAGCTGAGCCAATTGGGTGGCTCTTATTGCAACATTACAACTAATGTAAACAAAAATCACAACATAAGAAAAATCCAATTCATTAATTTGGGCACAAATACAGAAGTTGGAATGAAAAAACACTGAAGCATCAACCTCGGGGGACTAAGCAACTACTAAACCATCAGATGTGTCAATCGCATCAACAAAGAA